CAAACATTTAACTTTAATGAACTAAATTTCACTTAGGGGCATTATTAAGAGCTGGATAATAAGCTTCACTTTGGAAGCCTCCACTTCGACACTTCATCTTGTACAGGGTTTACATATAAGTAGATTACCTCACTCCCTAATCTGTAATTAGAAATAGAGATTAGCCATACAAAGCTCGCCCCTCTTTAATTTGTAATTATAAAATAATGTCAAAAACTTTTAAATGCACCGAAATTGACTAATATTTCCACAAAATTCACAGTTTTTCACATTTTCCATATTCTTATTGTAAATTTTATGTTTTTAAAATTCAGCACAATTAAAACACGTTTCCTATCGCAAAAATGGATACTAAGAAAATTGGCTCTTCTGACATTTTCTTGTAACAACCAAAAAGTGTCAAGCGATCACTGGTTGACGTTTTTACAGGAAAAATGCTATTTTTGTTGCCGTACTTTTTGTTGTTACTCACTTCAGAGAGTAATTTTGTTTTTTGATATTTTTACAGGATTTTAGACGAAAAGTATTGGATCGGCAGCCGGATTCCAACCTCCGCTATCGCCAATTTCAATCACCAAAAATCTCCAAAATAATAGCAGGCGCGCCTAACGACATGCAACATCTAGTTAAACGCTCATCATACTGTCACATTTGGCTGATTACACTTTGCATCTGTTACTTTTCCATGTTGTATATTTTCAGGCCCCTCTGTTTTTCATTTAGAGAATTTTGGCGACGAAAATTTAGCGTAGCGATTGTCAGAATTCCCTACAGAGCTATTCTATCATTCTTGGCAAATAACTTGGAACGGTTTGCCTTGGAATGGTTTAAAAAAAATCTATTTCCGCCATCGGATCCTTAACAAGATAAAGCAAAAAAATATATATATGAATTTAGCGAAATTATAGGAATGAGAGAATTATGTAACAAGTCCAATAACAAAATAGGTAGCATAGGGTCGCATTTATCTTGCTACGCTGTCCATGTGTTTTGTTGTGTGTTTGCAAGTTATGCAATCTGTGCAACGTACAACGGTTTTGCAAGATTTCGAGAATATCCCTATTGTGATTTTGGATTTGGTATAAATAATAATAATAGAATGGCGCTTACACATATGTTAGTGTTTGGCCGAGCTTTTCCTCCGATTTGTGGCGTGTGCCTTGATGTTGTCACACGAAGAGGAGGGACCTACAGTTTTACGCCGACTCCAAACGGCGATTGTATTTTAATGAGAAGCTGTTTTCATGGCTTTGACCAGGGCTTGAACCCAGGCGCTGCGGAATGGAAGCGCGCACTACCTACCATTACACCACAGCGGCTGCCTCGCGATCGTATTGGTGGATTTAAAAATATTGATTGATCGTGGGTGTGTGCTACACATTTAGCTGGTTGGCTTATTGACCGAAATGAAAATTTTTCATGCGCAAATGCAGTCAATATATCTTTATTTTGTTTATAGGCCGTTGTATTTTTCAGTATTAACGAATTCTATAAAAAAATTTAAGTTTAGTTTTATGCACACGTGGGTTACGACTCTCGGTTACTCAGCTGTAATTGAAATAGCGAGTTGAAATATAATCACTTAAAAGCACTATTAATAAAGTACAAATTAACTTTCAAGTATTTTTATCATATATGTAATACTTCTATATTGGCAGTAAGCTAATTTCTCAATGTGTAAGCATTCCGAAATCAAAACGAGACAGTCTAGTACTGTTTTTGTCAATGTATTGTGTACTTGAGTGACGTTTTTGTATATGTGTTGTGTACATGTTTATTTATAAACGTATGTGTTGCTTTTCTTTCGTACGTATTTATTGATATATCTGTACTGTAGTGTTTTCGGACGGTACTAGCTCTTACTGCCAATATAGGAGTATTACATATATGATTTTTATCAATATCATTATGGGTCTTCACACCGAGCTCGGCATTCGGTAACTCGGTGTCCGGTAATTTTTTCTAATGTATTACCGAGTACCAAGCTTCGGTGTGAAGACCCATATTATAATATTAACACTTTGTCCATACAAAATGCTTATAGAACACACCGAATGTCCTTTTCTGTATTAACAACCGAAAGGCATAAAGCCTGATATACAGTTCAATACGAGCATGAGCGTGAGCTTTTTATTTTGACTAACCTAACTTTTTGCATTAGTTGATACAAAAAGGGATAGAGAATTAAAATATCTTTCGGAATTATAGAATAAAAACTAATTTAAAATGCATAATATGCCTTTTTTCGAGCTCACACTCAACTGTGTGCGTACGCAAAGAGTTCGCATGTGAACGGCAAGTTTTGACAGATGTGTGTGAATGGAATTCTTTGCCATTGCGAAACATGGTGTAATGAACTGAAGGTGGCGCATTCCCGAAACCGCTACTTTGGTTTTGCCGACTTTGACGTTTATGGCAATACGTAAACAAACTTTTTGTTTATAAACAAGGGCAAACGTATTGCAAACGTATTGTGTATTTTCAAGTGAAAAATCGAAGTAATTCGTGCGTTCTGAAGTAAAAAACATTTTATTTGTAATAAAAACTTTATAAAAATGTCGTGTCGTGTGTTGAATTGCAGCAGCCGTAGGGGTAAAGGCCCTAAATGCAGTTTTTTTTTTTGTTTCCCCGCGACGACGCCTTGGCCAGAAAGTGGGTAGAGTTCTGCCGGCAGGAGAAGCCATACAATTTAGACACCAGCGTAATATGCATGAAGCACTTTACGGATAAGGATTACATGAGTAACTATCATTTATTTTCATTACTTATATATGTCGATATCTAATAAAAGTCTTAGGAACTGCTAGTCGACCATCGCTTCGCCGCGACGCCATGCCAACCATTTTTGAGTGGGAAATAGATCCTGCTCCGGTGTGTGAGTCACAAAATGACAGCGTTGAGGAGATCATTGAGCTACAAAATTGCGAAGGTAGCAAATATTATACTATAAGTATTATATTATTAATGTCAGTGGTTTATTAGTTGGTTTAAATGAAGGCGATAAAGTATATCGGACCAGGGACGGTACTCTTGATGCTTCGACGTCACCTATCCGTAACTGTGTTTACTATGATAGTGATCTTCAGGAAGTGGAAGTGTTGAAAGTGGAAGTGTACGTTAATAAGTAACAGATCTTTATGTGTAAATGTAATAATATCTTATATATCTCTTATTTGAAGTGAGACATTCAAGCGCGAAAATGCACACCTCAAAAAGGAAACCGAAAAGCAGTGCACCGAGCTCGCTACATTGAAGCGGGAGTCCGACCTGCAATTGAAGAGACATGCATGGAAAATGGAGTCACTGCAAAAACGTTTGGATGAAATGGCTGCCCAAATGAAAAATGTGGAAGATGCACTAGCTTCCATCTTCACTAAAGGGCAGATAGCGAAGCTGAAGTCTGGGTCGAAGCGACGAAAATGGGCGGAAGAGGATATTGCGAAGTCAATATCGTTGTATGTTGCCAGTCCTAAAGCATACAAGTTGCTATATAAGCAATGCCTTCCACTCCCATCGGTCCGCACACTTCAAAGTTGGGCACAAAAACTGGACATTTCGCGCGGACTTATAACCCCAGTCTTCCGGTTATTGGCCGCCGCTACCCACATGAACGAGGCACAGAAGCTATGCGTGTTGAGTTTCGACGAAATGAAAGTAAGACAATCTTACTGTTACGATGTTTCGTCGGACTCAACATTAGCCCCCGTCAACTACGTACAGGTAGCGATGTTAAGAGGTAAACATTACAATCAAGATTTTATAGAATATCAAACCTTTATTAAGGCCTTTTATATTTCAGGTCTCATGGCAAAGTGGAAACAGCCAATCTTTTATGACTTCGACTGCAAAATGACTTCCATTTTGCTTCGAAGCATGTTGCAGAAGTCAAAAGATTGCGGCTATAACGCAGTGGCTGTCGTATGCGATCTTGGAGGTACCAATAGGGCCCTATTTAATGATCTAGGCGTAACTGAAGACCAGCCGTGGTAAATAATCACAATTAAACTTATTGATTTCAGTTCTTATAATACTTCTCATTTCCATAGGTTTATTTTCAATGACCAAAGGATTTACGTTTTCGCTGACGTGCCACACTTGCTAAAACTTTTGATCAAGGTTTCCTAATTAATGGGAAACCTGTGAAAAAGGAAATAGTTTTGGAGTTATTGTCAATTACAAGCACGGACTTGACAATAACTCATAAGATTTCTGCAAGTAACTTGACCGTGGCTGGAGCTCACCGCCAAAAGGTCAAGACGGCAGCGAAACTATTTTCGCATACTGTGGCGCAGGCCATAACAAGGGCAGCAAGTCTGGGTCATTTGCAGAACCAAAACTGGACCGAATGCTTCCAGTTATTCAAAATAGTATGTGTTATTATATTATATTATGAAATTGATATATTATATATTTTACTATATTACATATCGTTATCTTAATTCACAAAGGCTCGAACCAACAGTTTTTCGTACTAAAATATAGCTTAAATAAAAATTTCAAAGTGTTAGTACCAAAAGCAACGGAGTCACATGCCCCTTTTTCAAAAGCTCTACCTATTTTCGATACTATTTTTATAATGTTTATTGCTTCTGCTATAAAATATAATTATTTTTTTGTTTAGGGCCTTTGTGAATTAAGGTTACGATATATTTAAACCGCAATATTAAAACTCATGTTCAAATTATACACCTTAGACAAATGACTGGTTTGACGTTCTAAACGTCAGGGTGCCTCACGCCGACTCCAGGAAGCGGTGTCTTGCTTACGGTTTAGCGATCGAGGAGCAAAACAAGATCCTAGACGAGATGACCGACCTAGTCAAAAATATGAGGGTGCTTGGCAAATTTAGTCTGCTGCCATTCCAAAAAGGTAAACTAATATATATGGTTATCTCAAGAATAACATTAAATGTTTGTTATTTATTCTTACTATATCCCTAGGAATCATTCAAAGTAATACGCCGTTGAAGTTGTTATTCGAGGACATTAAAGCTCGCTTTAATGTCAAGTATGGCTTGACGTATCGGCTAAACCAAGACGTACTCGAAAATTTCTTCGGCATTATTCGGTCAAAAGGCGGGTTACATTATCACCCTGACCAACAGGAATTCAAGTACCGTCTGCGACTATACCTGCTAGGACACAACAAGGGCGTATTATCCGATTCTGCTAATGTAGAAGAGGATGATACGCCTGACATAGAAATCACGCAGCCTCCGCTTACAAGTAATTCAAAATAATTTTTTATCTATTTCATTCGGCTTAAATATAAAAATATATTTTATTAATAATCGCACATATATATTTCACCATATTTACAGGTATTTTGCTGAAAAACTTAAGCTCTAATGCAGAACTGTGGCCGGCTGAAGAAGCGGAATTCGAGGATTTGGAGCTAGACGGACTCGAGCATTTAGCGGGATATATTTGCCACAAGCTGCAGGATGACATTCCCAGCACGTCGTTCAGGAGCAATGACGACCATTCATTCTCCTGGGCGGATCACCTTAATGAGGGTGGGTTATCCCTACCAAGCTCCTCTATGATGGTCCATATGCGAAGTCTTGAGTCAGTCTTTAAGGCATTGAACGAAGACGGCTTGCTCATTACAAATGATTTTGTAAAAACTCACATTGAGCATGCTGCAACAATTCAATGCGACATTAAAGTAAAAAAATTATTTTTCAGGGCAAGAATGTTCTTCAAAATACGAAAATTAAATAAAGAACTCGTTGAAAATGCCCACAAAAGAAAAAGAAAAGCCAAAAAAACTCTGACCTAGATCGATCCATATGGTACCATTATAGAACCGTAAGTATTGCATAAAATACCAAACATGTGGTAAGTTTTGAACTAAAGCGTTTTTAAATTTGTAGAAATTAACCGTTCTTTACTTGCAGCATGAATCAATGTCCGCATTTCACACACATGATCTCAGTATTTCAGACTCCTAAAATTAAAATACTTGCATGCTACGTAAGTCCCTAGTTTTAAAAAATCATCAAGCGTCTTTTATACAAATATAAACTTATTTATTTGCAGGCAAGTAATATGATTTATCCAAATGCCCTTTTCAGGGCCGCCAATTAATTAACAAAGAGATTAAAATTTTATGCTTAGATAAATACATATATACCAATCAACAAGAGGCCCTTTTCAGGGCCGCAATTAAGTTGACAAAGAGATTAAAATTGTATATCCTATATATATTTATGTTCTTAACGCATATATGTATGCATGTATCTTTTTATAATTGTCATTTAAATTGTATATTTTTTTACTTAGATTTAAAAGCAATTACTTGGTTTTACACATCATTTTGCTTCGTTATTGTTAAACTTAACTAAGTGGATCAATGAAAATATAATATACTGCAAATATATGTATATAATATACTGCAAAATAAAGACTATAGTAGTAAAAATTTCAAATCCAATAAATGTTTATTAAAACTATACCTCATTGCACTAGCTTCCAAAAACAGAGAAGAAAAATAACTATGACGTACTGAGCTCTGGTTGTTGATGCAAGACTATTTTGCTGAGACTGACGCGACACACACCAATACACCAGGTTGGTTTGCACTAGTTGGTGTCGGCTGGTTTACAGAAAAACTATTAAACTCCAGGTTGATTTTCGGCGCCGATGAAGCAACTGAGCCGAAGATATCATCAAGGTTGGCATTTGAAGTTGGTTGTACATTAATTTCTAAAATAGAAATGTAGGTCTCAATTCAGAACTTAGCAAATATTAATTTGGATGGCCGCCTAAAAGTCTAAGACTTTTTTGAATCTACCGAATCCTTACCTAAAATATCAATGCCAGATGAATTATCATCCCCGAATGCTCCAAGCAAATCGAAACTAGCGTCACTCGTTGTGGCTTGTGGATCTTGCACCGGCAGCTGGGGTTGGGGCTGGTTTAAATTGAGCATGTATATTGGTGGTGATGGTTGAGGTTGGATTCGAGGTACATCCTCTTGCTTTATTTCGGTAGCATCTGGTAAAATAGGCGTTATCTACGGAAGCAGCTGACCTAACAGGCGTAGGTTTGTTGATGGAACTAGGTTTTGTCACTGTTGTAAGGAAAATAAATAAATAATTGAAATGGGCGGAAATACTATAGGGACTTGCCGAAATTATCCACCATTTCCTCGAATTCTAATTGCGAACTAAATATATGTTGTACGTTTCTTATGGGCTTTGCTGGTAACCAAGGAGGATTCCTACTCGGCGGAAATTCGTTATCCGTGAAACTCAACGACAGCGAAACCTAAAAGTCATGAGGAACCTGATCGGCATCCGGTAAATCATCGAGATCATTCGAGGAAAATGTTATCAATGTTTCTTGTTCCGGTATGAAGCCCGTGTTGATTTGGAATTGACAAATCTTTAAACTCTGGGGACGTACCATGCCTTTAAGTGCATTCCGCGCATGATAAAGCACCACTTCATTTATGGAAAATATGGAAATTAAGCTGCATCACCACCGGCATGCTTGCCGCGACTTATTTTTTCCAAACCCTGTAAGCAAAGTTTATATTAATACGACACAAATTTGTTATTACTGCCACGCACTCACCAAATTAAATGATTCCACAAGCACAGTGCATGATTTACAAGGCGGCAACTTAGTTGATTTTTCCTTTTGGTCCTTTGGAGATTTGTCAAAAGCTTCCACAGCTTCACAGTTCTCAAACAGCAACACCAGCCCACATACAATTGAAAGCACCACTTTTAAACACGACATGTTAAGTTGAAAACGTTGAAATACCACAATTTACAAATTAAAATCGAAGGTAAGCAAGCATCGACCACTTTCTGCAGGAAAACATGCGCTGCGACAAGATATTATCACTTTTCCGGCACCTGCAATACAAACACAAAATTCTTTCTATTCTTTTGAACACATTTCAAGAGTGGTTGTATAATTTTTGTTAACGTTGTGCTTAATTTGCTATAAGATGGCTTGAAAAATTGGTGAATTGTGAAGAAAACACGTTTTCTCATTGCAAATTCACAACTGTCAACTCATTGTTCTTCGCCAAATTCTTTGTTTACCCGTTGCCGCAAATGTCATTCTGCGGGAATGCGCAATCTTGTATTCTATCGTTCTTGGTGTTAGACAGCGTTTGTCCGCGAACAATAATAAACCTTTATAGAACGTGGTGCGTCTGAGAGACAGGCTTGGGACAAGGGAGCAGTATATTCGGTTTGCAGAGGAGACATAAAACGCCGTTGATATTTAAAGTCTCACAGTATAATAAAATGGGATTTTTATGTGTTGCAAAGAAAATTGCAAAAATAAGTCTCGCGTGTCTAGAGCCACAGGGACGTGGTTTGAAAATGCGAAGCTTACTACCTAATGTTTTGTTACGCCCATCGCATGTCCAATGAAATTGTACAATGCGAAGACTTTGTTAAAGATGACACTACCATATCATCAAAGCCATTGCCGACTGGTATAGCTACTGCAGGGATGCGGGGGTAATATACCAATTGGACCATCAAGAATTTCATGGAAAAATTGGTGGCTCAAGGAAAAAGTACAAATCTTTGCTTATATTTAACATATGTATATATTTTCGGCCGCTGTGGTGTAGTTTTAAGCAGTGCGTTCTTCCACTCCGCAGGGCCTGGGTTCAAAAAGATATTTTCCTAACAGCGGGCGCCCCTCGGCAGGGAATGGCAAACCTCCGAGTGTATTTCTGCCATGAAAAACAGCTTCTCATAAAAGAAACAATCGCCGTCCGGAGGCGGCGTGAAACTGTAGGTCCCTCCCCTTTGTGTGACAACATCAAGGCGCACACCACAAATCGGAGGGAAAAGCTCGGCGAAGCACTAACATTTGGGTAAGCGCTAATCTATTATTATATATTTCCTTTCATATTAGGGAGGAGAGTCGAAGGCCATTGGGTGTTGGAAATGATAGAAGGCGGTATGGGGGATCTCCAAAGAAAAAATTGACCCATTTATGGCTTTACTTGAAGCTGTAAAATATTTGTACAAGGTAGAATAAAAAGATGTCTAATACACTCAAAATATTCCTTTCATTCACTTAATTTATCTTTTTAAATCTATAGGTGCATATAAGCACATATTTCACTTTTCTCCAGCAGTCGTTTGCTTACTTACTACTTGTTTGCTTCTTTCTTTTCATTCGTTTGCTACATTCTTTAAGGTTAGTATGGAGCTCTCAAGAAAACGGTCAAGATAAAATGCCATTATTTCGCGTGTGTGTCCAAGGAATTTTGCCATCTGATACTTCTCAGCCTGTTGCCTCACTCTTTCCGCAAGAATATTGAAAATAACTTTAGAAACCCGTAGTAGAAGACAACAAATTTCTTAAGACCTGCGTACTGCTTTAAGAAAATTTGACCCAAGAAAATTTCTCGGCCATTTCTTGTACATCATTTTATATGGAGTTTTGGCTTTTCTTGAGAGCTGCATACTGGCCATTACTTCGTACATTTGACAGTTCAACATAACAATTTTTGCTTCTATGAGATATGGTGGTGTTATAATTTATATTTTATTCCAAAATAATAAATTTAACAACTAAATTACAAAGTTCTGGCAGGAGTGCAAGAGATTTATAGAGTTTTCTGTGTTTCAGTGTTTTAATTAGCGTGAAAGAAACATAAACGCCATTGTTTTTTATCATTTTTCTAGGGGCTCCCTGGAGTCCTATAGGCGGCCTAGGGGGTTGAGGTGGTGTCATTGGAAACGGTGGTCCATGCCCTCTCTAAAGGGTTGGTGGTTGGTGCCACACCCCCTCCCCTCCGCCCACCACGCCTACAAAGATCGGCCGTAAAGGAAAGTTTCCCCCATTTACTATTTATCGCGTCAGTTTTTAGAAGATGGTTAGTATTGCAATCCATATTTATTTATTTCAAATCTAGAAATCTTGTTATATGATTCTACCAGCACTACACTATCGATTTAAATATTCTGCCTTATCCTGAGTTTCGCCTGAAAAAAAAATTCACCCGAAAATTTGCCATCCGCCCATAGTAAAACCATGGAAACCAAAAGTGAAAAGTGAATCGGTTCGGTGAAAATGAAACTCATGATAAGGCTGATTACCTTCCATTATATAGTCACAAACAAAAATATATGAAATGTGAGATCGCGAGTGTGTCCTACACGCTCAATCAGCCTTATCATGAGTTTCATTTTCCCCGAAGCGGTTCACTTTTCACTCTTGGGTTCCATAGTTTTAGCATAAGCGGATGACAAATTTTCGGGTGAATTTTTTTTCAGGCGAAACTCAGGATAAGGCAGAATATCTTTTGACAGTGTTTCCATTCAATATTCCCGGCTACTCGTTCAAGAAATATTTAGGTGATTCCCTTAGGGCCGGTTGTTCAATGTTGATGTTTAACCGGCAAGTAGTGATAACCAGACATTTAACAACCGGCCCTTAAACTCGTAAAGTCTTAAACTATGTACGACGCATTTATGGGAACGCCCCCTTAGCGAAAATGAGTAGATAGGTGCAGTGTTGCTAGGTCTTCGGCATGAGAAAACGTCCCTCTTGGTATGAAAAAAACGTCATTTCCTACCCAAGAACGTCTTATTCAAATGAATGTACAAAAAATTTTTCTTATTAAACTTTTATTGTATACAAAGGTGCATATGTACGTAAGGTGTATTAAAATGTCGTTTTGGCAGAGCATATTTAAAATTCATTGTAAACTGGTTTGAGATCGTTAATATAAAAATCATTTTATACATACACTTGTGATCAGCTGATTAAGTCATCGCCATTTTGATCGATTTTTACTGTTTCTCTTTTGTTTATTTAGTGTTTATTATTTTTCCATAAAAGCCTAGCTCATTATATAACGAACAAAATATAAATCCACATTTCAAACTTTGTGCAAGCGCATTAAATTTCAGGGCAATAATTTGCAAGTTT